CCAGTTTTCAAATCAATCTCACTACTATGTGATTCCCAAGTGCCTCCTCTCTCGTGCTTTCAGGAAAAAAAGATGTAAGTGTTTTCAAAACCTACTTGTACTAGTATTACCTTATCTTGATCACATTTATATAGAATTGGTTTTTTAGTTCTGTTAACTTGTACAGATTGGTCAGTTTGAGTCCAAAGGATTGTGCATCGATTTTCCCCTTAGTGCTCAAGTTCTGTCAGGTATACTAAATGTTGTCACAATTATAGTGATATGTGCTGAAGTTCCTTACCAAAATGTGATTACTAAGAAAGATTTTTCGTTTTACAGGTGTTGCATATTGGCAATGAGCTCGTATCTTGTCTTTGCACTTTTAAAGACCTGGTCTCGTGTAGTGAAGGTCAAGATGGTCTGGTTTCACTTTTGTTTCATCTGTTTTCTGTTGCTGAAGAACCTGTGTCTGAAAGGTGGTGTGACGCTAATAATCTGAGTCTCAATCAACTAGAAATGACGAAAAATCCCCCTTTTCTGTCTTGCTGGATCAAGTTATTAAACTCAGTTAACTCAAAAGATGGTTTGTCTAGTCTTGCAATTAAGGCAGTAAACGTTCTGAGCGTGGGCTCCATCAGATTATGCCTTGATGGTAAAAGGTGACTTCCAGTCTCTTCATAATCTACTAATTTCCTGCTCACATTCTTATTGATAGGAATTTTTACTCGGATTGGATCCTTGTTAAAGAATCATTCTTCCTGTCTTTTATTTTGAATTGTTAGTTGATTCCACTTATGTTCTTAAGTTGGTGCATGCATACAGTTTAGTTAATCCGGTTTTGTTCAATTGATGCAAGGCTGAAAATTATTAAGTAAAAATGTGCTTAGTTTCATGTTTCAATACTTCCAACTGGTCTATCAAACCATTCTTTTTAACGTGTTTCACATTCAGTTAAGCTCTCGTGTAGTCTAATTTTCTTCATTTTTTTCCAGTTTGGACTCGAAGAAGGTTGCAGGACTAAAATCCCTGTTTGGTCTTCCAAGTGATATTAGTGGCACAGACACTTTTAGAGAAGAAAACATTGGTTTGATTGAACAAATGGTGACACTATTGAGTTCAATGACTGCAGGATCTGATAGTTCAGCAACAACTGAGATGAAACCCCATGTGCATGAGGTACTGACTACCCCATGCCTGTTGTTTCTTGTACCATCCACTTCTTTTGTTATTTTCCTCTTAACACTGATTTCCGTATTCTCTTTGTGGATTTGAAGGTATCACGGACGTTGCTCTTGCTGCTAAAAGATGGGAATATTGATGATATTATCTCCTGCAAAGGTGTTCTTGTTTCTCCTGAGAATTTTGATATGGAAGATGTGGACTCTGAAAATATTGAGGATGATCTCTATCAAAGAGGACTGGAAGACAAGTTCTGGTGGGAATGTCCGGAAACATTACCGGAGCGTCTGCCCCAGTCATCTCTACCTACAAAAAGGAAACTACCAACTGTGGAGAGCTCTAGCAGGCGTGTTAAAGGCGAAAACTCTTCTGTTGACATACAGACCCAAAATTCAATTCAACGGGGACCGGGTTCTGTATCTCTTCCTCCTGCTCCTACACGTAGAGATACCTTTAGGCAACGCAAGCCGAATACCAGCAGGCCTCCCTCTATGCATGTGGATGACTATGTTGCAAGGGAAAGGAGTGTTGATACAGCTGGTAATTCTAATGCAATAACTATTTCACGGGGAGGATCTAGCAGTGGTAGACCTCCATCTATTCATGTTGATGAATTTATGGCCAGACAAAGAGAACGAGGCCAAAATGCCTCCACCGTTGTGGTTGGAGAGGCTGTTGCACAAGTGAAAAATCCTACTCCTGCTAGAGATATTGAAAAAGTCGCAGGTAAACCCAAACAATTTAAAGCCGATCCTGATGATGATCTACAAGGAATAGATATAGTTTTTGATGGTGAGGAATGTGAAGGACCTGATGACAGGTTGCCCTTTCTTCAGCCCGATGAGAACCTTATGCAGCCTGCTCCTGTCATGGTTGAACAAAACTCTCCTCACTCTATTGTCGAAGAAACCGAGAGTGATGCAAATGGTAGCCAATTCTCTCGCATGGGCACACCATTGGCATCTAATGTTGACGAGAACGCTCAGAGTGAATTTTCATCGAGGATATCAGTTTCACGCCCTGAGATGTCATTAAATCGGGAACCAAGCATTACTTCAGACAGGAAATATGTTGAGCAAGCAGACGAAACAAAGAAAATGGCTCCGAAGAGTGCCGGCATATCTGATTCTGGGTTTGTACCTGCTTACAACATTCAAGGATCTTCAGGACAAAATCTGATTGATCCTAGAGGGGGTCCTCAAGGCTTCTATTCAAAGAGTAATCAGCAACATACAGGCCATATTCAAGGTGGATTCGGTGGTAGGGGGGTTTATGAACAGAAAGTTATGCCAAACCAGCCTCCTTTACCCCTAGTGCCACCTCCACATTCTTCTGACTCTCTTTCTAATCAATCCTCTCCTTTTATTAGTCATGGAACAACGTCTTCAGGAGGACCCATCCGGCTTATGCCACCGAACCATTCAGCAATTCCTCAATACTCATCTAACCCATATGCTTCGTTACCGCCGAGGACATCTACAGTTCAATCTTTTGGATACAACCAGGCAGGTGCAGGTACCACTGAACAACAACAACAAAGTGGTCAATCCATCGATCAGCAAAGTGGAATGACCTCTTACCCTCCTCCCACTCTAATGCCATCTGGTTTTAGTAGGCCATCATCTCTCCCTGTGCCATTCTACGGTAATCCTCCGCATCAAGGAGGTGATAAGCAGCAGACTATGTTACCGGTTCCCTCCATTCCACAATCACTAAATCCTCAGCAGCTTCAACAGTTACAACGCCCTATGCAGCCCCCTCAGCATAGACCACCCATGCAGATATCTCAACCATCAGATCAAGGAGTATCACTGCAAAACCCATATCAGATTCCTATGCATCAGATGCAGATGATGCAACAGGCGCAAGTTCAGCCTTACTATCACCCTCATCAACAACAAGATATCTCTCAGATGCAGCAACAACAGCCACGGCAACAGGCTGTTCAAGGCCAGCAACAAGAATCTGGAATGTCATTACAAGATTACTTCAAGTCCCCAGAAGCCATTCAGGTTTGAAATCCACAACCCTGGTAATGATGCACCTTATTACGTGCCACCGCTCACCATACAATTCTTTAAATCTCCTTTACAGGCTCTACTGAGTGACCGCGACAAGCTGTGTCAGCTTCTGGAACAACATCCAAAACTAATGCAGATGCTTCAGGTTCTTTTCTTACTCAGATTCTCTTCTCCTTTGTTTTCATGTGCTTTCTAAAAGCATCATCCACCGTTGTGTTTTACCTGTAGATTTACACTGAAATGGGTATTTGTTATTGTTGGTTGTGACAGGAAAAACTTGGGCAGCTATGAGAAGAAAGAGAGCATATACATCCCTCCCTTTTGGCTACTAGTTACTTTTCTAGTTCTGTAATGTTTAGTAACATGTACATTCTTGGAAAATGTAAACGGTGCTGTTTCTGTTGTTGTTTAGTTATAGTTCATGTACATTAGCAAGAAACGAAACTCCCTCTCTTACAAAGCGAAAATTCTGAGTTTGTTGTAATTAACCAACATATAGAGAATATAGACTTTGACTAGGGAACACACATTTGAAGACTTAGTATGGATATATCGAAGATTTAGTGTCAACTCGTATCAATTCTTGTTAAGAACATAGATCCAGGATAACAAACAAAATGTTACATGAAATTGCATTTTTAAAGTTCAAACCTCTAAATGTACATACAGAACATTAATGAAGGGATTACAATGACTAAGAAATGAATAAGGTCATGACCATGACCATTGGATCTATTGCCATTCCAAGATCCTTAGTGTCAAAAGTGGATATTTCGCTGATTATAGATGGGCTACTTGCAAGATTCTTGATTCACGTTACTGTGTTGAAGTCATCTGTCATTGTCAAGAATCTGACAATGATCTTATGATCATCATATCAATCTCTTAAGACTTCTCTATGTTGTCTCTGATGATGTGACTAAGGATAACTTGTGTCATAATGCTAAAGAACTTAGTTGTCCGCAGATTGCTACTGCTGGTGTGAACTACGTGGAAGCTGTTCCATGGGAAGAAGGCCAAGAGGAAGAGATTTTTGGATTATACCACGAGGATTATACCAGGAGATTGATCAGAAACAGAGCCTATCCTTTCCCGTCTCCAACCGGTTGATCAATCTGCTGTTTTTGAAATCTTTTTATCGGCTTTTATGTTTGCATCGTCATCTTCGGTTATCATATTCTCGGCTCAAGAACAAATTGAGTATATGATAACCGAAGATGACGATGCTCCGCTGTTGATTGCTGATGAAGAAATCAAGCTTGAAGTATAGGAATATATGCTAAGAGCCTGTTTGTTAGATTCCTTCCAATGTCTAGAAGCAATCTCCTTCAAACCCGTCGATTAGCGAAACCGGGGTTTTTAGGATGGTTATATCAGAATTTATGAGGTTAGTTCCAATTCGCAAGCATTGCATTGTTAGTCTAGTAAAAAACTCAATTATTTACTAGACTAACAATACTTGCGAGAATTGGTTAGCTTAAGAAGTTTTCTCAATTCAATAGGCAATAGCTATTATGTTTTCGTTGGAATATAAAAAGTAGTTATTTGTTCAGTGAAAATGAATCGCCCTTGTCTTGTATCATATACAATGCTAAATATTGAAGGGTGAGGATTTGAAGAAAGACAAGAAAAACCAATTTTCTAATAAAAATCTAAACAATTGAAGCAAAGTGGTTGCTTAGTGGAGCCCTAACCTCAACCAATGTGGTTGTCTTGTGTCCAGAATCATCTTAACTACATCTTCTACAAAAGAATCAAAACAAGAATAGCAACACCCTTTCATCAA